AAGTGAAGAACAGATTTAAGGAACTAGATTTGGTGGACAGAGTGCCTGAAGAACTATGGATGCAGCATTATAACATTGTACAGGAGGCAGCAATAAAAACCATGCCAAAGAAAAGGAAATGCAAGAAAGCAAAGTAGCTGTCCAATGAGGCCTTACAAATAGTAGAGAAGAGAAGGGAAACAAAATGCAAGGGACGATAGGGAAAGTTACAGAAATTTGAACACAGACTTCCAAAGAATAGCAAGGAGAGACAAGAGGGCCTTCTTAAATGAACAGTGCAAAGAAATAGAGGAAAATAATAGAAAGGGTAAAACCAGAGATCTGTTCAAGAAAACTGGAGATATTAAAGGAATATTTTGTGCGAAGATGGACATGATCAAGGACAAAAATTGTAGGGACCTAACAGAAGCAGAAGACATCAAGAAGAGGCGGCAAGAATACACAGAGAAATTATACCAGAAAGATCTGGATGTCCCGGAGAACACAGATAGTGACCTGGAGCCAGACATCCTGGAGAGTGAAGTCAAGTGGGCCTTAGAAAGCATGGCTAACATCAAGGCCAGTGGAGGTGATGGCATTCTAGTTGAACTATTTAAAATGTTAAAAGATGACGCTGTTAAGGTGCTACACTCAATATGCCAGCAAGTTTAGAATACTCAGCAGCGGCCAGAGGACTGGAAAAGATCAGTCTACATCCCAGTCCCAAAGAAGGGCAGTGCCAAGGAAAGCTCCAACTACCGTACAATTGCACTCATTTCACATGCTAGCAAGGTTATGCTCAAAATCCTACAAGTTAGGCTTCAGCAGTATGTGGACCGAGAACTCCCAGAAGTACAAGCTGGGTTTCGAAGGGGCAGAAGAACTAGAGGCCAAATTGCTAACATGTGCTGGATTACGGAGAAAGCCAGAGAGTTCCAAAAAAACATCTACTTTTCTAGCCCCCTTCTGCTCCCTAGGGCTCCGCTTTGCCATAGGGAACCCTTTGGGAGCCTTGTGGCAGAGAAGGAGCTATTAATAGTAAAAAAATCACACACACCCCAAGGGCCATCAGGATTGGGACTGCCAGTAACAATCTGCTAGCAATTTCTGGCTATTAAAGGCTTTCTGCCTCCATCACAAGGCTCCCAATGGTTTCCTTGAGGGAAAAGAAACCCTAGGATGCCTCAGAATCTGAAAAGGCAGAAAATAGGAGGGTTTAGTTTTAATTAAGTATGACTGGTGCAGAATGATTATGTAATCCAGTTTTCATCACATAACTATGTACACAAAATATTGACCACTGTTTCTCAAATATGAATTATTTATGCTTTTCGTACAAAACACTGGCATTTCATTTTAACCTGATTAGAATTAACTGTTGTACTCTGTGTATAACTAAAAGAACTTTCAGTGAATTATCAAGTATGAACATTTAATTTTTGCTTGTTACATGTTTTTGTGTGAGAAGAAATGAGCCAAGGCAAAGTGAAGCAGAAACAAGCAATACTGGAATAGAAGAGAGGGGGGAAACTGCTCAGTGAAATGGTTTCTAAATTTCCATTCTTAATTGTATGAAGTATCATGGCTGTCTGTCTAAGGAAAACTGTATATAGGAATATTTTAAAGACATACCATCTATAGGTAAGAAGAAAGTATACAAAATGTGCTTAATACAGAAAATGGACACAACCCAAAGACAGTATAATATACTAATTATGTAGTCAGATTTCAGCTACTATTTGGAAATACAGTTATAGAATTCTTTAGGTATTTATCTATGAAGTATGATCAACAGACAACCTGGTTTAAATCTGACATTTTTCTTGCTTGTTTAATTCATGAGTCCTAATTGATTTAAATTGCCTTAATTTAAATCAATTCAGCCTTACTGCTTGTCACCCAAGTTAAATTTTTTTAAAACTTAACCACTCACTTTCCTGTTTAAACGGTCTTTCCTGTGATGGTTTCGATAAAACGTCTGACTTCGGCATTACTGCCCCATACATCTCTCTATTTTTGCTCCTTAGTTCTTCATATGTGATTCTTCTTTTTGCACTTTCTTCCACAGGTGGCACATATTCTTAATAGAACAAGAGAAATAAATATCATATTCAGCATAAAGTAAAGGTTATTAACACTGTGTCTTGATAGTATACAGTATGTTTATTTTAAAGGAAAGTTTCCATCTGTCAGAAGTCTTGACTTCAGTTACGTTTGATGCTTTGACTTCTGTGGAGTAAAAAGCCATTCAAACTAGAAGATACTGTGGTGCCTCACCTGACGACGTTAATCCGTCCCAGTGAAATTGCTGTAGAGCGAAATGTCGTCAAGCGAAATAAAAAAGCCCATTGAAATGCACTGAAAACCGTTCAATGCGTTCCAATGGGCGAAATACCTGCTCGTCCAGTGAAGATCCTCCATAGGGCGGTCATTTTCTGTCCCGGTATAGTAAAAAAAGTCCTAAAAACAGCGGGGAGCCACTTTGCACAGTGGGCGGCCATTTTGAAAAACCGACGATCAGCTGTTTTTATCGTCGTAAAGCGAAAAATCGGTTCCCGAAGCAGGGGGCCGATCATCGTAAAGCGTTTTTTCCCATTAGAACATCATTTTGCGATCGCAAAAACCTAATCGTCAAGCGGATTCGTCATTTAATGAGGTAATCATTAAGCAAGGCACCAATGTAGATCAAATTCAGGTTTACTTACATCTTCGAAAAAATGAGGGGTTTTACAGTTTAAGCTTTGCTATACTGGATAGCTAGGTGTTATCAGAAAGAAGCAAGCCTCAGTTCCACAAGTAGGTACAGTATTTCTATATCCTCAGCACAGTCTCTCATGGACATTGTTGTTGCAACTTCTATAAACAGGTTTATCCACTGTTGCAATATTCAGATGAACAGATCATTTGTCTGAGCAGCTATTAATGTAAATGGGCCCACAAATACTGTACTACTTTTTTGTTGCCAGATTTGCAAATTCAGGAGAATGAATGGTTGACACGATCATCATCGGCCTTTGTCAAACTGAATCTTTCCAAATGTTTCAGTCTACAGTTACCTTCACCCTTGACCACTGGCCATGCTAGATGAGAGTTTCAGGCCAAAACATCTGGAGGGACCCTGGTACAGGAAGGCTGAATTAAGATATCAAAACTTACTCCAACTGCATGTGGGGAGTTATAAAAATCTAAGGCTAACTGTATTATTATAGATTCAACCCATATAACCTGCTATTATTTAATTTTTAAGAAATAACTGGGAATCTTAAAATTATAATGGGAGTCGTGCAGGCATAATGCTGTGATTGCTTAATTATGGTTAAGTAACAAATAAGCACTTGCCATTTAAAAACACACCAACTGACAGCACAGTTTGCCATACCAGCAAAACAATACTTTGGATAAGATTCCAAAAGCTTGTACCACTAACCGGTAGTACAGAAATAATAATATCTTAACATAGCAGGTATATAGTATATGCCCTTGCAGATATTTGGGACTGAAATGTTACCATCTAAGTATGGATCTACATATTATGAAGGAACACAGCCCAATTTTTCATTTGGAATTTTTGCAGAGGAAGAGCAATTTATAAAGTAAAATATAACAGCAAGTATGAACCCTTCTTGTCCAGACATTCTTCCCTGCTCTTTTCAAACTGTTATCTCTCAATCGGCTACAAAATCTGAAGCTGCCCAAATATATTAGGAAAGAAGAGAGCTATAAGAGGATCTGTAGGTGAGAGCAGTAGGGACATAAAAGGTTAAACATTTTCTTCATGCCTATCAATTTCCCTCTGTAAGCCCTGCTTCCCCTTCAATCCACATTGACATTCATGGATACATGAAACACATATTGTCAATATAACATCTGTTCTAATACTGCCTTTTGGAACCAAAAGGTTTGTATTTATAAGCCCAAAGAATATTCATTTTAGAAAATCTACTTTTAAAATTGGAAATGTATCATCATGGCATTACAAAAGTATAAGGCAATCTCTACCTGGAGGTGGGCCGTCTGTTATTCCAGAAGGAGAAGATTCACCTACAGAAGAACTAAATGGGACTGGGTTATCTTGGGAGGGAAAGTCTATTGCTCCATAATTATCAACAGGGTACTTTGAAGTCCGTGACAGTTCTCCTGCTGGGACACTTTCAGAAGATGAAGGCACGTTTGAAAATCTTGGCTGCTGGGACCTAAGCCTGAAGAGACAGAGGGCAGTGAGTTACAAAAAACACAATTTGTGAAAGTATTTGAATTTGTTATTTTTCACTGTCCAAATACAATGGTGCCTCGCAAGACGGGCGCTCCGTTTAACGACAAATCCGCATTACAACGAGGTTTTTATGATCGCAAAAGCGATTGCAAAACGACGTTTTGAATGGGGGAATTTCGCTGCATGATGATCAGTTCCCTGTTTCGGGAACCGATTTTCACTTCCTGACGATCAAAACAGCTGATCGTCAGGTTTTCAAAATGGCTACCAAGTGCTCAAAATAGCTCCCCACTGTCTTTAGGAGCCATTTTTCACCGCACAGGCACCTGAAAATGGCCGCTGGACGGTGAGTTCTTAGCCGATTGGAATGCATTAACCAGGTTTTAATGCGTTTCAATGGCTATTTTATTTTCGCTTTACGGCGTTTTTGTTCTACAGCGATTTCACTGGAATGAATTAACGCCGTAATGCGAGGCACCACTGTACATGTTAAGTACGCATTTCCTATCAACTACTCAGACCAAAAAACAAACAGGCATTTGTTGCAGAGATTATCTCTCTTTAAATATCAAAGATTACAATTCCAAAAAGTTATACTTTTAAGCACTGTAGCCTTTATTTTTTAACTTATTTCTAAAGAATGAAAAGACAATCGACCATTTTACAAATATTAAATACAAAACTATTCCCCACATTTCTCCAAATCACATATATACCTTTCCCCATCACCTTTTAAAGAAAAATTGACCAACAATCTAAGTCTCTTTTCAAATCACATGTCTCTATTTTATCGCTTCCAGTTTTCTGTGAATTTACTATGGCTTATTTCCCCTCTATGTACTCTAACTTTATTCGTCATTTTTTCCATCACCAATGTATGCCATATTTTACTTGTGAATGCTTGCAGTGAGAGATCTTGGGCTTTTTTCCAATTTTTAGCTATTTCAGATCTTGTGGTGCCTATGAGATTTGCAATTAATTCTTTATATTGTAGATTCTCATTTCCCTCCGTGAATAATGAAAATAACAATAATGTTTCATTAATTTCTATTTTTTGATTAGTCAGTGTTTCTATCCATTTAATTACCTCCAGCCAAAAAGTTTCTATTTTGGGGCAAGAGATCCACATATGTTCCAGAGTTCCCTTTTGTCCGCAGTTCCTCCAACATTTATCAGATATATCTTTATTAATTCTGTGTAGTTTTGTAGGGCATAGATGCCATCGGTGGACTACCTTTAGAACCGTTTCTTTTGCACTTGCTGAAATAGATTTATATGGATATTTTTTCCAGATTCCTGTCCAAATTTCTTCAGGTATATTAATATTTAAATTTGTTTCCCACACTGTTTTAGATCCTCCACCTTTTCCATATTCTTTTTCAATAATGCTTTTATATATTAGTGAGGTTAATCCTCTCTTTTTATTTTTATCTTTTTGTATACAATATT